AACAGAAGATGAACCATTTCAAAAAACTTTGTCATAAATGTAACAGCTGAACAAACCACAAATGTTCTAGATAAAAAACGAGATCACAAAAAGGATCAAATGAAACAGAAAATACAGTAACTATAACAAAGTACTTCAACAGCTGAGGATCAGTCACATCAATATCACCTTCAGATTTGCTCACAAAAGACAGTCACAGAAGAGACACAGTTAATGTAAGGCTCTTCCGAAAGGCTTGGGACACAGACCTGGAAATACACCAGAGGGCTGGACATATGCCTCCACTGCCCTTACAGAAGACCCAGATTCAATTCCCAGCACCTATATAACTAGGATGTTACCGTGATCTGGTGACATGGGCACTCTTGGTTTATAACCAATGTTTTGATAGTTCAATAAATGCCAGTTTGGGGATGCCTTAGTTAGTACTTCCACTGCTGTGATAAGACACCATAATCAAAAGCAACTTTGAGGAGGAAAAGGTTTATTTCCATACCTTCTACTTTATTTCCGCTTTTACCTATATTGCTTTCTGGCTTTCTTTATTACTTATTTTTCTCACTGGCTTTTTGCAGGGGGTATCAACTTCCTGTCTCTGTTTTACTTATATGAGTCTGGTTTGGCTGACATGCCCCAGATCACAGACCACTAAAGGAAGTCAAGGCAGGAATCTGGAAGCAGAAATGGAAGCAAAAGCCATGGAGGAATGCTGCTTACTAACTTGCTCCTCATGGCTTGCTTAACCTGCTTTCTTATATAACTCTGGATCACCTCCTGGGGGCTAATGCACAGACTTGCCTACTGATCTAGGCACACATTTTTGTCAACTGAAGTTCTTCTTCCCAGATAACAAACAAAAATAAATCAACCAGGACAGAGCAATATCATTTGCAAACACTCATGAATAATTCTAAAAAATAAGGAATATGTGAAAAAATCCAAAGTACAAAATCCCAGAATTACAGATTTAAGTGGCCATGTATTATTATTTCTCTTCTACATAATACGCAGTTATCCACATTTTAGATCTTACATTATAAGAAACATACACAAATACTCCCATGCTTCTTACACTGAAACATCTGTCTCTATAAGAAACTTAATCTACATTTACTGCCTTATTTTTGAGACAGGCTGGCCTGAAACTCAAGATCCACCTGCTTCCGCCTCTTGATTGTTGGGATCACAGGTATGGATGACCACAGTAATTATTTTTTGTTGTTGTTGTTGTTGCTTTTTCTTTTTGTTTCTGAGATGTTTCTGCACATATCCCTGGATGTCCTGGGACTCACTATGTAGACCAGGCTGAACTCACTAAGTAGACCAGGCTAGCCTGGAACTCACAGAGCTCCACCTGCCTCTGCCTACCTAGTTCTGGGATTAAAGGTGAGTACCACCATGTCCAGCTGATTAATGATTTTTTTTAAAAAAAAGTTGAATCTACATTTAAACATTAAATATAACTGAGAAAGATGTAAGCACTAGCAAGGCTATATCACATGACCATGCTGAACATGGAAACACAATCTTCACTGAAATAAAAACAACTGAAGATATGGATACAGCCCACAAAAACCTAGGAAATATTTGAGTTTTCACAAACAGATATTAAGCAGACTCATACTTAGTTGCTGTAATCCAAAAGGATCCTTCACTAAATTTACACCGAGACCACCAAATACATAGCTCTTTGATAAGGTCCAAGATTGAGGAACATTGCAAAGGAACCATCATGGCACTGGGGATATAGCTCAGTGGCAGGATAAATGCTTGCCTAGCATGTACAAGGCCTGGGGGTTGCACCCAAACTGCAAACAAACAAACAAATGAAGGTAGCTCAGAAACATTTCCCTGTCATTCCCTAAATATGGATTTCTTTAATATGCACTATGTAAGACATCCTCAACCTTTGTTCCCCTAGCAACAACTGAAGATAGCAAGCAGGTCTTGGCAATTCGAAAGTATCCTACTGTCAGTTTGGCCAGCTTAAGATAAGCCTAGCAGTTTGTTGAGATTCTAAACCAGAATTTGAAATTAACCACACTTTTCCACTGCTCCTCTCTAGCAATGCACTAACTGAAAATCTGACTTTTTTAAGTGGAGGTTTTATACTGTGCTCTTCAGAAAAAGTGAGAATTAATTTGACTCCAGCTAAAAAGACACATCACTCCTTAGCCAGGAATTAGATAGAAAACCAAACAAGAGTAACACTGGCTGCAGGTGCATCTGTATCCTTCCTTGACTACTTTCCTGTAGAGGAGCTACAAGGGACTTTGCTGGGGAAAGAAAAAGTCCTGATGCCCCCTCCCCTCCTCTAGCTTCCAGGAAGAAAAGGCATGTCGCTTACACACAGAGCAACCATCTAATGGACCCATTCTTGTGACTATCAATGCATATTTCCATCTAAAGCAACAACAGAAAGTAGAGAGTTATGAACAATACTGAGGACATAGTATTGCCACAAAAGCCTTCTGCAGTACATAGGAGATGAACTCAGGCTAGGCTTTAATCTGCAGTTGGGAGATTAATAGTCAGTGACGTGAAACATCTGCAATAAGCCAAATGCCACATCCTCAAAATATCACCTGTCCATCTCATAAACAAGAACTCTGATGATACTTGGATGAACCAAGACATGTGATTATTAACTCTTCATTAGCCTGAGGGCCTCACATGGGGATAGATGACACCACCATATATGAAAAATAAAACCAGAGGGAGGCAGGGCAGGGCAACATGTAAGGTGATGACAGATGCATGTAATGTCACAACCACAGGACTCTACATCTAAAATTGATACATAACCATGGTCTTCCCATTAAAACTTAAAGAGAAATAGGTCTGGTTTGGGGTTTCAAATACTTGCATACTTACAGTAAACCTCGTGAAGCTCTCTCTCTATATATATTTCTTCCCCTAAGCTTTCCAGGACCAAATGTTGCCGGGAACCTTCCAGTTCTTATGGTGCAAAGGACACTTGGCCTGACTAAAACTCTTAAGGAATTTATTTATTAAAAGACCAGCAACCAAATTTTTGGCTCCAAAATCCTGCAAAACTCAACTCATCTGCCCTTCTGCTTCCTTGAAAAAAGGAGCTGACAGCTTTGGTGAATATGTGGGTAATCACCCAGCAGCCATTTCCATAAGCCTAGGTATTTTAAAAAATATGAACTCACAGATCACTAATCTGAGATACTCGGTGGCTTATAGCAGAAGAAACTGAGGCCCAAAGGAACAAAGTTAACCTATTCCAGGTTCCCAAGCCATGATAATAACCTGACCTGCTGCTTCTACGTGAGTATGTCGTAGTAACTCTATGCAAACTGAGTATGAATGATGGAAGATGAAAGTATTCCCTCATGGCCTGTCACTGATAGGGCAGCAACAGTCAAAAACACATTTCTTCAGAAATAAAGTTTCCTTTTAGATGACGGCCTCAAGATTTGACCTAGTTTCCTCACAACAATGCACCTCTTGACCAAAAGAAATGTCCACAACAGGCTCAAGGAAGCATACCCTGATGTGAATTTCGTTGTGCATTCAAATCAATCACTTCCCATGGTGAGGCACTTGGCCTTTAAATTTCACACAGTGAATCTCGTGTTTTGTGACTCACAGACAGAAATATTAGTATTTGGCACCTGTATTAAACATGAGCAATGCTCCTTGTCCCTTTTAAAGGGGAAAGAGAGTATAGGCTACGGTTTCAAGCCTCATATGAGAAATTTAAGACCTACTAGTGATAAATGCCCTTAGAAGTCCCCAAGGATAGTCTCCTCTTCTTTATCTTGACAGACCAGGCTACCATGCACTGTATCAAAGTGACCCTAAGCATTTCCTGGGGATGGAAACATAACCGGGTTCCACTAAACTGTTACATAATAACAAATATAATTAGCAGTCAAATGAACGAAATTGGAAAAAACAAGTCAAAGCTCATTGGGTATGTTTTCAGAACTAAGTGTCCAATTTGAATTTGTACAGAAATAAAATAGCGTCTCAGTTAAGTATGTACTTTACTGTTCTCTCCAATAATTATAATCTGCTCTTGGTAAAGATCTTTCACTTTCAAATGGAGAAAAAAATAAATAAACGAGGCACACGCATAATGTCTGCTGCTGTCACAAACAGCTGAATCATTCACATAATCAACAGCCCAGAATTCTTCCACAAGCTCTCAGTTCACGTTCTGCTTTTTGTAAGATGAAAATGTAAAGCTTTCCCTACTACAGCATGTAAGAATTATGCGAAATCACGGGATTCCCAAAAGATACTGACTTTAAACAGAGGCAATGTTACGGTCCATCAAACAGGAGGCCCGGGCTACAGATACCAAATCACTCCAGCAAAGGAAAAACACACCATCCAGGAAATGTTTTCAAGGCCCATGGGCCAGAGATTTAGGGTCGCCGATCTTGCGCTCCCAGCTCCCAGTAAGCCTCTAACAGATGCCAGGCGCGCCAGGCTGAGTTCCAGGACCTCTCTGTTCTGGCTTCCCCCAGGTGATACACATACGGCCCGGACCAGGATAAATTAACGAATCGGGTCCGTCAGGAAGGTGACGATCCCGGAGGGAAGCCCGGCGCGGACCCTGGCACCAACATAAGACCACTGGAGACGCGTAGGGCAAGGGACTGCACAGAAATCTCCGGGGTCGCGTAGGCGTTCTGGGCTGTTAAAGGGTGCCTGGGGGTTGAGGGCTACGGGTTCTTCGGGCGTGGGGGTCGGGGGAGGGTGCCCCGTGGGGGTGGGGAGGAGAGTGCCCAAAGCCTGAGAATTCCCGCGGTGTATGCAGACTAGAGCACCCCTAGGCATGGCCCAGGGGATGCGATGGCGCCTAGGGGCCGCGGGACCCAACGCCAAGCGTGGGCCACTTGGATATGTTCTGAAGGCCTTTGGGAACCCAGGAACCCTAAGAGGTTGCGCGGGGCACTCTGCGGTGGCAGCTGGCTGGGCAAGGGACCCGGCACCAATACCCCTAAGGGCAAACTGACGCTCACCCGAACAACCCTCGCAGGAATGAGTGGGAGGCCTTCACTCGTTTCTCGGCCTCCGCCATCAGCTGGACCGCTTCTCGCTCTTTCCCTGCGTTGTCCATGTCGTCCGCCGCTGCCAAAGCCTCCACCGCCGACTTGCGATGCTCTCGGGACGAATTAACCCTGCCTCTAGCAGGTGCCAGCACGCAGGCGCGCGGTGCGTGGAGCCTGTAGGGATCTGTAGTCCTAGACTCCACCACAGTGGCAGCTGTGTCAGAGGCCACAACTACAGTTCCCAGAAGGCTGCTGGGCAGGGCTAGGCGGGAGTCTGCCTTGCGGATCTTGAGTTTCCCGAGAGGAGGGAGAAGGGGCGTGTCCCTCTGGAGGGGTCTTGGGCCAAGGTGGACTTCAAGGTTTTGAGGAATGCAGACTCAGAAAATGACCAGTAGTTTCCAGGGGAGATAACCTGAAATTCGCAGGACTCACTGATCATGACTGAGACGTGGCAATGGATAGATGGTTGACCAGGGCATGTTAAAAAAAAAAAAAAAAAAAAAAAAAAAAAAAAAGAAAGAAAGAAAGAAAGAAAGAAAGAAAAAGAGAAAGAAAGAAAGAAAAAAGAAAGCCGAGAATGCTCAACCTACATGAAGGTACTGAAAAAGGTAATCTAATGCATCAGTTCAGTGCAATTTCGTCAACCCTGTTGTGCCCCACCTCCAAGCTCTCCCAGAAAAGGATCAACAGCTGGCCCAAAGAGTTATTTTTATTTCTGAGAGCAAGACGTTAAAAATGCATCATCTTCTCCAATATAAATTCAGAGTTGTTTTTAAGCGTCCTCAAACTGCAACTTTCTTTTGGTCCTCTTGTTTAGGAATTCGTGGCATATCTTCCGTGTAGGCATAATCCACTCAATTTTATTGACCGAATTCTATTAAATGGCTATGAGCCAGTGAACTCCTTTATCCTTTACATAACTGGCCACATTGGGTGGATCTTGACAAAATCCTGTCTGCCAGGAAGATTTTTAATATCCATAGATAGATGCAATCCTGTGCCAATGTCTTCTAGGCCTGTCCCAGAAGGAGCTGTTTTTTTTTTTTTTTAATACAATGTCTAGACCCATCTAGGCTTGGCAATGCTGATGCAGAGCTGGTGAGGCAAGTGGGCTCACTGCCCAGTGAGAGATTCTGGAATACACTGTGGGGACTGGAAAACAAAGCTTACCTAAAGAAATGTCTTCAGAGAACAAAGCAAGACAGTTCCAACTCCTTGAAACAAGTTACCAAAAACTGATGTGGCATGTGATAGGGCCCAACCACTCACTATAAGATGCTCTCAAGATAGCCCTTGGTGCACAGTTTTACTTACAACTCCTGTGGACATTCTTCTCATTTTGGAAAACTAATTCGTATGTTTGGAGCAGTAAGTTGCAGGCAGGAAGGAGGAAGGGAGTTGGAGGATGAAAAGGAAGCAGTTGGGGGATTAGGTGGAGTGAGCCAACTCAAAAACACGCACATGTAGCATCAGGTGTTGATGGGAGCCATTCTCAAGCCTGTCTCAATGGAACAGCTTTGCAGAACAGTCAAGTAGTGGTCCCTGTCACTATCCTTCAGTGTCTGTATCTCCACTCCAACCTATTCTAGGGCTCATCCTGCAATTTTACCTGAAAAGGAGCTAGAATAGATTCCCGAAAAAGCACACTGCAAAAACCAGACATTTCACACATGGATACTGATTCAAATTGTGGCACCTGCCTCTCAGTGGCTCTGGGTACATCCCATTCTGTGGATGTTCAGGATACATGGAGAGTAGACTAGAAGGTTAAATACCCACCATTCATATGAATGCTCCACAAAGGCAGGACTGAGTAGCTCAAACAGAGTAGGGAGCAGAAAATGACCTATGTAAATAAAGGATGTTGCCATCTGTTTGTTGCTAGAGTTCCAGGTAGAGTAATGAATGGTATGACATATTTCTACACTGAAACAAATAGGTAAAGTTAGCCTACATACGGGGAGGGGAATTGAATGCTATCTCTTGATGGGAGGGACTCAACCTTATTTATATATTGGCTTGTTTTTAGTTTTGTGAGACAGGTTCTCTCAATGTAGTCTTGGCTGTCCTGGACTTGCTATATAGGCCAGGCTGACCTCAAACTCACAGAGATCCTCTTGTCTCTGCCTCCTGAGTGCTGGGATTAAAGATAGATTTGAGCCACCATGCCAAGTCTAGAACTCAACTTTTTGTTTTTTTCCAGACAGTTTTGAACCATCACGAGTGTGTTAGAGGAAGTCAGTCTACAGCCTGGTTTGACTTGGTCACGCTGATCTCTAGTGGCCCTTCCAATCCTAAGAAGTCTGTTGGGGGCTTCCATTCCCTCTTCTAGGACATCTGTCTTAGTTTCTCCTGCTATGATAAAATACTTCGGCAAAAGCATCTTAGAGTAAGGAAAGAATTCTGCCTCACAATCCAAGAATTCAAAGTCATGGTCTATCACAGTAGAAAAACTAAGATCAAGGAACTCTAAGCAGCTGGTCACAGTGTCTACTCTCAAGAACAGAGAACAATAAATGCTGTGCTACTTCAATGTTGTCTCTCCCTCTTCCCTTCTTTCTCCCTCTCCCTCTTTCCCTTTCCTACTCATATAGTCCAGGATCCTACATGGGGAATGGTGTCATCCACCGTGGATAAGTAAGTCTTATGTTTCAATTAGCACAATCAAGATAACCCCTTAGGACCATCTCCAAGGTTCCAAGTTGACATCACTAATCATCACAGCATCCTGGCCTCAGTTCTGCCTATAAGGGGAAGAAATGGTTGAGAGATCTCAGACCAAGGCCAAACTACACCATAAACACTGTGCTCTACTTTTGTAGGCAGAGAAAAATGGAGTCCATTCAGACAGCTCTTTATCTATAATCATTAAAGCAGTGTGTTAGGGAGAACAAATAACCTTCAGTCATTGCTAGAAACTAATTAATGATGTATTTTATTAATTTTCAAAAGACATTCAAAGCAAGATGAGCTTGTGAGGGAAATTTGTGTGGCAGGGGATGAGTGTGTATGTGTGTTTGTGTGTGTAATGTTTCATATCAAGTCACACATGTTATAAATATTCACTCAAAGAACCTTAAAGATATAACTTAACAGTTTCCTTAATAAACAATTCTATAAAACTGGCTGTGATGGCACACACCTTTAATCTCAGTACTCAGGAGGCAGAGGCAGGTAGATGTCTGTGAGTTCAAGGTCAACCTGATCTAGGTAGTGATACTTTGTCTGGAAAGAAAAAGAAAACATTCTATGTAATTGAGACCCCAAATTAGGAATGATAAAATTAGTTATCAGTAAGTATCTACCAGGAGAAAGTTTTAAAATGATTCTTACTAGAAAATGCTTACTATACACATTGTTACTGCTACTTAGTGTTATTCTTTTCATTAGTTGGTGTGAAAAATGGCCCAAGTTTTAAACTTAACTTGGTGGCTTGTTTCTTTTTGTTTGTTTTTGTGTTGTAAAGATAGACTCTTGTATACTTCAGACTAACTCAGTATGTATCCCAGGATGATCTTGAACCTCTGATTCTCCTGTCTCTTTACCTCCCAAGTTCTAAGATTGTAGACATGTACCACCATACACTGTACTACTTTTATGCCATGCTGAGGATCAAGCTTCATGCATGCTGGGCAAGTTCTCTAGCAACTGAACTATATTCTCAGTCCTACTTGATACTTTTAATTGTGGAAAGTGAGCAAACAGCAAAGATGACCACTTGAGGGGCTGGAGAGGAAGTTCATCGGTTAAGAGCACTTGCTGGTCTTGCAGAAAACCTGGGTTCAGTTCCCAACACCCACATGCCAGCTGTAACTCCAGTTCCAGAGGATCTGATGCCCTCTTAAGTACATGTGTTGTACTTAAGTACATGGAGGCAAAACATTTAAACAGGTAAAAAATAAATTCATCTTTTAAGATCTTTCTCAAGCACCTTGATTAAAATAAGACGTCTGAAGGTTATGATTCTGAATTGCAGACATAACTGCTGAGTGGAAATGTTTTACTTTCCCCAAGCCCTTTGACTATCTTTGGTACACAATTTAATGTTACATTAAAAGAAACTTGGAGGAAAGTGATACTGTCCCATAATTGTACATCTCTAAAAAGATTCTTTTCACTCTAAGAGTTATGAGAAAGAGAGGGAAACGGGGAGGGAGAGGGAGGGAGGGAGGGAGGGAGGGAGGGAGGGAGAGAGAGAGAGAGAGAGAGAGAGAGAGAGAGAGAGAGAGAGAGAATGTCTTTGTGCATGTGAAGGCCAAAGGTTGACACTAGCTGGATATTTCCTTAATTGTTCTCCATTTTATTTTTTTGAGACAAGGTCTCTTACTGAACTAACTGAACTATGACTCGCTGTTTAGAATAGACTTATCGATTGTAGAATGGCCAGCCAGAGAGTGGGTGGGATCAGCCTTTCTTGTTTCTCTCCCCCCCACTTCTTTCCCCAACACCAAAGTTACACATACACAACCACTGTGCCTGATTTTGATACTGATGTTGCAGATTCAAACTCATCCCCATACTTAAGACCACAAGCTTCTGATCCACAGAGGCATCCCCAAACCACTCTTTCCCGTTTAACATATGCATTCCCATTTAATCTTCACCCATAAATGTAAAACTACATAGACATCATCGAGGTGTAGATTTGTAGTGTGTATTTTGTGTGTGCCAAGCCTTTAGGGCACCAGCTAAGCAGGACCATTTCCAATGCAAAGCACTCAGGAGATATGACTATGATTGTTAACTGCCAATAGCTGAATACATCAGATTTAAATAACTCCCATGGAGGCAGATTTGAGTTGTATGAGATTTGACTCCTGTGGAAATATTCACATCTGTCCTGAAAATGAGCTCTTCTCTGGAACACCCTGTTGCCAGTTGATTTAAAAGAGTGCTAGCATCTCTTCATTATCAGTTGGGAAGAGCTGAGTTTTCCCAGACTTGTTCTGCATTGCAGTAATAGGCTTTGAAGATGCAGTAGATTATTATTTCTGGATTCCATGTTTGTAAATTCACTTACTTGTTAACACGTGATGTTTTTGCAGCCACTGTGAACACATCAAAAGTGGTGAAAGATATGAATGGATGGGCATATATGTTCCAGCTAGGG